CTAATTTGTCTTCCCTTCTTCCTTTCCTTTCCTTTTTTCTTTCCCTGCCCTTTCTTGTTGCAAAAATCATGTTTTGGTGTTCTGGTAATTTATTCATCCCCAAAGACAGTAACTGCAAAGTTTTTTTTAAAAAAAGAGCAATAGGAGTTTGGGACAATGTCCCTCTATCAGCCATATACAGTAGGAAAATATATTTGAACTCCTTGGAAATGATATAGTTGGCTACATCACTAGGGAATTTATATTGGGAGTAAACAGCAGGCAGGTTAGGAAGCAAACTTTCTTGACTTCTTGTTAAAAATGTGGTATGAATGCCAGTGATGGTTGCTTGTAACTCAACATCAAAACTTTATGCTAAGGCTTTATATATAAGATGGGCAGCTTATTAAATAAAAAACAAATATCAAATCTTTACATTTGAATTTTACAGAATTATCTATGATTTTCTCCCTCTTTTCTTGCCATCCTTTCACCTAGTAAATCTAGATATTTTTTAATGTGATGAACTCCATAGATCAGGGGTGTCAAGCCCACGGGCCGGGATGCATCATACTCTGGCCACGCCCACTTGTTTTAGCGAAGGGGGAAAAAGTTGTGATATGTCACGTGATGTGAGTTTGACACCCCTGCCATAGATAATACATATTCAGAATCAACAATCAAACAGAAGATAATGGTGTTTTGGGAGCAGTTTTTCCACCTATACTTAAGGACAGAAAGGGTGCTAGAAGACAGACCCATGATAATAAGATAGTTAGGATAAGTTTTGTAACCTTCGTATTACTTACAACAAGCTGTTAATAAAATGGAAACTGAACAAACACAACCAACCTTAAAAAAGATATATGATGGAAAGACTAAGGATTCACCTATATCAGTGATCCCCAACCTTTTTTACGCCACGGCCCGGTATCCCCAACCTTTTTTATGGCGCGGCCCGGTACCGACATCAGCTGGGCGCCGCCATCTTGTTTTGATGAAAAAGTGCTTCCGGTGAGCTTTCTACCCGGAAAAGCTCACCGGAAGCACTTTTTCATCAAAACAAGATGGCGGCACCCAGCAAGCCAGCGGCCTGGTAGGACTTGTTCCACGGACCGGTACCAGTCCGCGGACCGGTGGTTGGGGACCCCTGACCTATATGACAAAGTCAGTTATTTGTAATCTTGTTCCCTAAGAATGGTAAATAAACCCCAAAACCGGGAGTCTGGTAGCCCCTTTTTTGAGTAACAATTTTTATTATCTTCTTCATCAGATGCATCATGATGAACTGTAGGTCAGAAAAGCTTATGCTTTAAAAAAAATTGCCTAGCCAGAAAAGGGGCTATCAGATTAGGCCTGATATTTTTACCACTATAGACTAAGACAGCTCTCCTCCTATAGATACTTCTCAAGTTACGACCATAATTGATCTTGGAAATTAAGGTCATAAGTTGTGAGAGTTATGACCACATGACTGATTCTATGCTGCAAATGGCCATAAAAGCCAGTTGGCAAGTGCCCAATCTTTGGGAGGGACATCAAAAGTTTGAAATCAGATGAGGTTTTGGAGGGGGTGTTATATATAAATACATACAAATTTAATAAAATAAATATTTGGTTTTGCTATTTTAAAACTTCTGCTTAATATTCTAATAAATGGAAATGTATAATTTTTCCTAGTTTCCAGGGAAGGATAGCTTAAAAAGTTATCTTGAAAGTTTCTGAAGGGTTTGATCCATTTAGCAACTATAATTCTCTCTTGATGTTGAATGCAATAGCTGAATATATTTCCCTAGCAATGGTAAAGTATATTCACCTTTTGTATGCAATACTGAGAGAGAATTATATTCAGCAGAGAGCCAGGCTAGAAACCAGGAGACTGAATTCTATTCCTGCCATAGGCATGAAAGCTGTTTGGCTGACCTTGGGCCAGTTATTAACTCGCAGCCCAACCTACCTCACAGAGTTGTTATGGGGAATAAGGAAGAGGAAGTTATTTGTAAAAATAATAAAATGGGATTAAAAAATATATGACATTTTATTGATGTGTTAATGCTCATGGTGGTTCAGAAGTACTGATACTTGTGTTGATCCATTTCTTTTTGTGGCTTTACTTCCATGATACCCTTTGCAAAAATATTCAGCTGCAGAGCCGAGAAGCATCATCTTTATTTCCCATCACATTGCTCTTGAATTGAGGTTTCAAAATCACTATTTTTATTTTGATATATTTACCTGTAATTAATTGAACCTGATTTATGAAATTAACCTGATTGTAGGTATTTATGCAATACTGTGAACTAAAGTATGTTAGACTTTTTGGCTATTTTTGGTTTCCTAGGTCACACAGACGCAGCTACTGTCATTTAAAAGCTGAAAAAGCTGCCATCTTGTATTCTGGATGGTGTATTTTAGGGTTGTCAGAAGCCACATTATTCATATAAACATGTTATAATTTGAAGGACACAGTACGTCTGAACATTAAATGAATTTGCAGTAGTGGAAAAAAGTAAAAATGGCACATATTCTAACTGCAAGTGCTTTGCAAACACAGCCCAGGAATGTACAGACATCTTCCAGTACAGAGGATAATGCCCAAATGATAAAGGTCAGTCACCAGACATAAAATAGTGAGTTGCAGAAAAGCAAGTTGTGATAAGTGTGCTAGATTTGGGCTGGGAAGATCCGAGTTTACATCCATGAAATAGCATCAGGTTTATTGATCAGCTTTAGACCATTCACTGTCTAATTTACATCCCATGATTATAATGATAATATAAAATAACACTCTCTCTTGGCAACCAAACTTTTCTGCCACTGAAGAAAAGGGGTCTTTAAAGTAGTGTTTCTCAAGATATGTGGACTTTTAAGTCCCAGAACTACGCAGATATGCATAGCTGGTGAATTCTGGGAGTTGAAGTCCACACATCTTAAAATTGCTGAGGCTGACGCTGCTCTAGATCTCTTTGCCAACCAGCCAGTTTTTTGTTTTTGTTCTTTTGCACCAGTCAGTTATTACTATTATCAAAAATGGATCTGTTTTGTGACTTTTGTGTTTTGTTGTTAGTTAGATGGTGCAACTGCATGGTGCACACCTTCACCTTGATACTACCAACTGATATTTTGCCAGGTTGTAGGTCAACTGCATTGATTTCCCGGGTACTTTTATTAATGTTAAAGAACAAGGAAAGCCTCTTCTCGAGCAAATGAGTTTGCAGCAAAATCCGCTCCTCCTTTAACACAGCAGAGGAAAGACTCCAAAGGGCGGGAGAGGGCAGTGTAGTCCCCATTCCTCCGCACACGGGCAAGAGAAAGACTAAGAGAAATCGAGCCTACCGCCCCTGTCCTATTGTCCCCAGTGATTAGTTCCTATTTCTTGTATTTAAACTTATGTTTATTCTTGTTTCAGTTGTATTATAAGCTTTGGACAAATAAATAAATAAAATAAACTAAACAGAAGGTTGTGGCAGTACAGAACCGGGAGAAGTAAATACACCTGAGGCGTACAAAAATGTTCAGGGTTAGCAGTTTCCTCCTCCCACAGGGAGGAACATTGATGTGCTGGGAAACTGATGGGATGCCAAAAGACCCCAGTCGCTGGGGAATACATAGTAGTGCAAATAAAGGGAACTCCCGACAGCCTATTTTTGCTTCTCGCCCTCCTTGCAGCCGACGCTTTGCCTCTACTACGGTACCGACCCGGGAGGGGGAGGAGTTGGATCGCCCCCTCGGCTGAGCTTGAACAGAGGCCTCCAAACTTGGCAACGTTAAGACTTGTGGACTTCAACTCCCAGAATTCTCCAGCCAGCATAGCTGGCTGGAGAATTCTGGGAGCTGAAGTCCACAAGTCTTAACGTTGCCAAGTTTGGGGATCTCTGTTGTAACCGATCTGAATCTTATCTCCACCAAAGGGTGGCTCTGAGTTTCCTAACTCTTATTTACCTCCTAAATCGAGCAGAGCAGGGACACCCCTCCACCCAATCCTAATAACTCCAGCACGTGGGCCTCCAAAGCCAGAAGCGAGCCATCCCGCCCTCTCCCAAATAAGCCGTGAGGAGGAGGGCCGAAAGATATACGCCTGGCCTAAGATTCTTGCCAGTCCAAGGATTTGGGGGCTTTAGCGCCTTGTTTTCAACCCCCCTTCCTCTCGGTGTGAGGGCCTCACCGGCACCTAACTTCCGCGAGATGCTCGGGCGCTCCCATTCCCTTTTCTTTTCAAATCGGCGGCGGCTTGAACCGCAGCATTTCCGGGAACGCCGCATTCCCTTGGCCAGTCCCAGAATCCGTCTGGCCTTCACACCGAGTTTGACCCAGACTTGTTGGGGGCGTGGGGCGCGGTGTCCGACCGTCTGCCAGCTCTCGGCTCTGAGATGTTTTGAACCTCCCCGACCTGGAGACTGGGACTACAATCCCTATTAACTTCGCGCCGGCCTAATTGACGGTTCTCTCTTGAAGCAGGGAGTCTCCAACCTTGGCCACTCTAAGCCTGGAGGACTTCAACTCCCAGAATTCCCCAGACAAGCATGGGGAATTCTGGGAGTTGAAGTCCCCCAGGCTTAAAGTGGCCAAGGTTGGCGACTTCCCTGCTCTGGAGAAAAAGGCCACAGGTTGGGGTCGTGTTCCGTTCTCTTCGGCTCATCGGATCTCTTCCTCCTTTCCTTCCCCCTCCCCACCTCCCCCCGGTTCAGGACCGATCATTTGAGACTTTCGGGGCTCTCGTTTGAAAAACCAGCAGCGGGCTCCTTTCCCTTTAAGAGCTGCGCCTCGGGGGTGACGTCTCAACGAACGCAGCTCTTTTGGAATGTATGCAAATGAGCCCTTGTGTCTTCGACCAACGAGAACCCAAGCCCGGTCCCCTACAGCCAATGGCGTGCAAGCGCTGCTAGGGGGAGGCCAATAGATGCAAAGCGCCGGCTCTCACCATATAAGGAGCGCCCTCGCCATAAAAGGCAACATTGTATCGCTTTATATGGGGGAAAGATAGCGCGCGGGGGAGGGAGGGAGGGGTGTCCCGGGCCGGCGCGGATCCTGACTCCGGTGTGAGGCAGCGGCCAGGAAGGCGGGCGGAGGCTGGGTACAGGGCGAGGGGGCCGGGTCGGAGCAGCCGGCGCTCGGGCCCATGGCAGGGCCGGTGTGACCCCGACGCGTTAGCCCCACTTGGAAGGAAGAGGTGGCGGCATCCGGCACTATGTTACCCAGCCAGGCCGGGAACGGCGCTGCCGCCTTGGCCCGGAGCGCGGTCATGGGCATGGCGCGGACCTCCTCCGGGCGGCCAGGTGCCGGGCTTCCCCGTGGGGCGAACGGCGGCGGTGTTGCTGCTGCAGGAGTCCGCGGGCCCGGCAACGGGACAGGCCCGCCTAGCGGCCAGGGGACGATCGGCGGTCGCTTCGAGCGAGACCGGGATGTAAGCGCGGCGGCGGCGGCGGCGGCCAGCGGCAGCGAAGGCGATTCGGACTCGGCCGAAGATGAGGAGTTGGTGGGCGAGCGCCGCGGCATCAAGCGGACTTTGGGTGACATGGAACTGGGGGTGGGGGGGGCGGAGGCGGTGGCCGCGGCGGCAGCGGCCGGGGCTTACGGCGGAGTGAGCGGGGCCGTCAGCGGCGCCAAGCCCGGCAAGAAGACCCGCGGCCGGGTTAAGATCAAGATGGAATTTATCGACAACAAGCTGCGACGCTACACCACGTTCAGCAAGAGGAAGACGGGCATCATGAAGAAGGTAGACCGCGGTTGTTGGGCCGGGGTGGGGGGGTGAAGCGGGGCTCCCTTCCAGGATGGCCGGAGAGGGCGATCGGAGTGGACGCGGGGGCTCTGAAAGGAAGAGGGGGGGCGGCAGGAGGAGGTCTTTTGCGTGCGAGAAAAGAAAGGGGTCCGGAGCCCAAAGCTGCCTCTCGGGATGCGAGAGCGAGCGCCCTTTAACCTGCTTGGGCGGACTGCTCCTAACTCCACGTGTTCTCCTGACATTTCCAGCAGCGGCAGCGAGTTGCTGGTCCGGTACGGCGCGCTGCCTCTCCCGAAGGATCGGGCTAGTAGTATTGATACCGGAAGGGAAGACGGACGCGGGCCTACCTATCAGCCGCTCTCGAGCCGGAAAGGCACGCCCCGTTCCCGGCCCGGATTCAGCCGCTCGTGGGGGAGGCGGGGGAGAGTGTGAGAGAGAGACCTTGAGTTTAAATACCGCAAAAAGGCGAGAAGGGTGACAAGCTGCCCTCCTTTTAGCCCTAGGCGAACCAGGGGTCTCGGTTCCGAGTTCAGCCCGTTCCCTTGGCCTATCCTGCACAAGAACCGAGTCCACTTCCCACCTCTCTCGGTGCTCAATCCGGGAAACTTTGACAACGCACCCCGCACCTATAGAGAGACCCGAGTTCCCATTGAGATTTAAGGGTTGTGCTTCTTTCTGAGTATATAAAGGGAAAGAATGACCGGCACGTTGGAAATGCAGCAGACCCGTCGTTCTGAGGGAAAGGACTGAATGCTAAGCATGTGTCCAAACCAGTACCTTCGCTGGTTCTTTAACTTACCATCAAATAGAATTTCACTGGATTAATGTTGAAGATATCTTTGATCAGACCTGTACCTTTGTTTTGTTTTGTTAGAAGATCTCTACATCCAGATCAGAGGGCATAGGATGGCAACCAAGAATTGAATTTGCAGTGGGTTCCACTTATGCTTATGTCAGGCTGTGTGTATTGGAAGAATTGTAAGACTTCAAATGGTGTTAAAACTGACAGCTGTGTGAACTTTATCTGACAAGGATTCTAGTATGTCACTAATAGACTTAACAAACTTAATGTAAAAAACCATATGCTAAATGTTTCTGTCCAACTTGATAGGAAATAGTTTTTGTCAAAAGTATAGCTATTGTTGGAACTAAATAACACTAATATTTAGTTTACTCTTTGATTGGCCAAATGGTCACCCGTAAAACTTTCAGACAAAAAAACTCTTTCAAATATGATCATGCATTTTCTGGAAGTTTTTGGATTATAATCCCAATTGCTTGCAGCCTGTAGACAAAAGTGCAAGGAATTGGAGACTCCCAGATGTGTTGGACTATAACTCACCAATGGCTGTACTAATATTTCTGAGGTTGATTTTATAAATTTCTTCGATAGATCAGCATGGTCATTGAAGAATGTTGACAGCCTTTGGCAATAGTCTGCCTGGCCCAGAATTTTGCTAGATAAAGACACTGTTTAGCCTGCTTCTTGCCAGGAATAGCGTAAAAATTATGTGTGCGTATGCAACTCTGCATGCATATCACAGTAGAATTTGGATCACTTTAATGCTGCAATTGCACTTCTGGGTGCACTTTTAATGAATTCTGAAAATCTAATGTCCAGTGCTTAGTTTGTATTTCTGGGCATTCCTTATTTATACATTTTGGCTATTACTGTTTATAGTGTCTTGGAGACAAAATAAGAATTTATAATCTAGGGTTGTCCAAAGTTTTTGGTCTTCTGCAAATCTGATTCTTCTTTCAGTTTAATTACCATTGATATTGGCTTCAGCGAAAGCTAAATCATTGTTTAATTAGGGATTTTTAAACCAGAGTTGGCTGAATTTACTTAATGCCAAACAGCATTAAATTAAAACCAAATAAAATAATATTATATATTATAGCTTGATGGGTTAGTGAAAGACACATTTTTTGTTGTCATGAAGCCACTTCCTATTCATACCACGGCTTCTGCCTGCCCTCTTAGAATTTGGAAAGAAACCTTATTAACCCTTTGATTGCCCCATTGAATGGAGGTGGGGTTCCAACATCCAACACTGAGGTACTCATAGTCTCTCTGAATTAGGCTAACCCTAATTTTCCCAATATCATTCCCTCTCTTGATATTTGAAAATTATTTGGTTGGGGAACTCTGGGTTAGCTTATGTTAGAGCCAGTGAAAAACATCCATTCCATTTATTTATGTTTATTTATCAAATTATGCATATTTCATTGTTTTATCTCTATCATCCAGAGATGGGGGGTGCATAAATTTGAGAAATAAATTTAAAAAATTAGTAAGATAAAAACATGTTATAATACTGCATTTATCATTTTTGGTAGCCTGGGGATTTTAAAAATCAGCAGGCAAATGTTTTAAATATTTCACATTGACTTATTCATTAAAATAATATTGTATGAGCACAGCTACTGTTCTGTAGTTTGAAAACCATAATTTGTGGCTTACTACATATGCAGCTAGCCATTTGGGGTTGTTTAGCAAATGATGAGCAAATCATGTAGTGTGACAGTTTTCATCTGGTGTGCTGTGGCACGTTGGTGTGCTGCAAAAGATATGCAGGTGTGCTGCATCAGCCAGAAGACTGCTTCCTGTGACTTCACCAGTGGCAGAGTTCCTCCATGTTTCTTCACAAGTCCCAGCAATTAGTGTCATCATGGGACTTCTAGTTTAGTGACACAGAAGTTCCACCTATCAGTTGTGTACTGTGAAATGAAAAAGATTGAAAACCTCTGGCATGCAGCAGGGTTGCCACCTGGCTGTTTTTCCGGCCAAATTCGAGAAATCTGGCCATATAGAAATCTGTTTGGCCGTGAAAAAAATCATGTCTCCGTCCAAATATATTTGGCCGGAAATTTGGCCGTATGAAAGTTGCTTGGCCGTAAAATCAAAATTTTGGCCGAATACCGGTTTTCAATACAATATATTCGCATGAAAATGACTGTCAGATCGTCCTTGGCCCCCCCGGAGGAAAAAGTTTATAAACAAGGGCCTCTGCCAGGCATCGGGCACGTGCCTTGGAAAGAAGGGGCAGGCAAGGGCGGAGGGAGCGAGAAGCGGCTGTGACAGCACCGGCCCCTGGACTCCGCCCTCCTCGGCTCAAAAGGGGACCAATCAGCGCCGCGAGGCTCATCCACCCGCGGCGCGTGACGTCCCTTCAACGGTCCTCCTCCCCCCTCCCCCTCCGGGGGAGCGCGCGCGAGCTTGGTGCGCTTCCTTGCTTGCAGGGCGGGGTCTTTTTCTCGCCCCGCCCACTCCTTGAACGCTGAATGCGGAAGTGTTCTGGTTTGCTGCGGTGGGAGCCTAACAGCTGCTTTGCAGCAATGGAGTGACGGGGTGGGGTGTTGCTCCTCTCTTTTTTTTTCCTCTGGGGTGCTTCTTCCCCCCTCAAGCCTTATTTCTAAATCTGTAACAACAGTTAAAAAACAGTAAAAACAGTTAAAAAACAAAAAACAATATATCCTCATGTTATATTGCATTAAAAAAATTTGGGCGGAAAATTTGGCCGTGAGAGAAAATAACCTGGCTGTATTTTGACTTGAGTTTGGCTGCAGAGCCAAGCTGCAATCTGGCAACCCTGGCATGCAGTAGTGTAATATACCAACTCGGCTACAATATGTTGTTTCTTATGTTGGGTCAAGTGCAGATATTTTATCTTGAGTCAATATATATAGTTTAGCCCCATGGTGTGGTGTTGCCAATCTTAAAAACATGGAGGAGGTGCACATATGCAACAGCACCTGTTGGGTAATCATCTTGCATAAACCTGTTGCCTGCAAGTGTGCAAATTTGTAAAGTCTTGATGCTTTCTTGCCAAGATGAAGGGAAGACAAATATATCCTTTCTAGGACTACCCTGAATGACCTACAGTTGGGAGATCTCACACTGTTGATTAATTTAGCCTTCCAACGTACTTGGGCAGCTTTATTTTTAAAAGCAAAACAGTTTCCAAAGCAACTAAAAATGATTAGACATAACTAAGACCCTGTCTGCAAGCTTATGATCTAAAAGAGAAAAAAGGAAAGAAAGAAAAGAAAATGCAGGCATTATTTCTCAAAATGTTTGTTCGTAGTAAAGACTCAAAACTATTCATAGAGTCAAATGGAATGGCTGCTATCAAGGTGTCAAGAGCCACAGGATGGAATAAACTGTAAGAGTGTGAAATTCTCAGCCATACTCTAAAATAGGTGGGCTTTAGTTTGATTCAGGGGTTGTATTTGAGATTTTGAGGTGAGGGGAAAGGCTGCAGAATAATGCAAGGTTGAGGCAGAATGGTGTGTGTGTTGGCAGGACAGGGATTTTCTGTTTTTCCCCATAGCTTATAGTGGAATCTTGTAGGGGTGTGATCTTTGTTTTGAAAATATTATGCATAATTTTAAGTTTTTTGTTTTCCATCTTGAAAAATCAAGGCTGTTAGTTTTCAAGAAACTGTAAAGAAAAGAGGTTGCAATGTCGCTTTGTCTTTAAACTTACTCCATTCACATAATCCTGCTGCTGCTGCTAAATTTAAGAGGTTTAAATGTAAAACACAGCGCCCTTAACAACAGAGGTTCCTGGATTCCATGAAAAGCATGAACTCTGGTCCATAGACTCATAACTAAACTTTCCATAGAAGAAAGCATATGGAAAGCATGAATATAACTTTAATGGGATTTCCAGGAAAAAGCAATGCTGGGTAGTAAAATGCTTGAGCACCTACATTCGGCTTTTGTTTTTCATGTTAAGTCATATACAGCCAACAAATGGAATGATGGCTCAGTTGATGGCATTCCTCTTAGCTCCGAGGCTAAACAAGGTCAACCAAATTAGTTCTCAGCTTAGAGACTACCTGGGAATACCAAAGCTGTCGCTTAGACTGGGAAGCTGGGGCCATCTTGGAAAAGGGCCATGGAAAGTCGCTTCTGTATTCTGGCCAAGAAAAGTACATGATATCACCAGGAATTAAACAAAAGAAAAACATTATTTTTATATAGCCATAAAT